AACTTCTCTCTCTCTCTCTCTCCCTCTCTCTCTCTCTCTCTCTCTCTCTCTCTCTCTCACACACACACACACACACACACACACAGACACACACACACAGAGTTCCTGATCCTAATCTCTCAAGGAGCCCAGATACATTCCTTGCTCTTGAAATAAAAACCACTGTACTTTTCCCATCCTTGCCCCTTTAGGCTGGTTCAAGTATTCTTCTTAGTATATTCACACAGTTCTTAAAAAGAAACTCCTTCTGGAAAGCTGTTTGACTCCCACTAGGCCACATGTCTTCTGTGTGTCCCCAGCATGACCACGTGCCCCATGGCATCATCAGTACCTGTTTCCCTGTCTGTCTCCCTCCCTGGGTTGTGAGATCCTTGGGGCCCACAGCTCTGCCCCACTCCCTACCACAGCCTACCTAGAACCTAGCGTGGTACTTCACACTTGTGGGGGCTCAGCAAGGATTTGTTGAAAGAGTGAATTTACAGGGGACCAGCAAATGGAGTGATGGTTGCGTTGCTGGACTCCCACATGGCCAACCACAGTTCAAGTCCCAGACCTGGCACCTCGAAACTCATGTCAGGTATGTATGCGTGTGTGCCCAAAATCCCAAGAGGAGAATAGAGGAGAAGGGATTGTAGTGTAGCCATCCCCCCTGTGGGGGTGATTTCTCACTTTCTGTGTCTCTGTCTGTCTGGTGAGCACAACGGGCCCTATAGCAAAAATCTCTCTCGAAAAAAAGTGAATTTATAAATGAATAATACAGATGTGAAATTAGTCATGAGACTTTACCTTTTATATCAGCTACAATCACAAGCAAATAATGGCAATGACTAATGTACCATTATAAAATATTTTTACATTCATAAGTCATTGTCACTCAGACCTTGAAACCCCTCTGAGAGGTAGGTATTATAATCCACAAACCAACAAATAGACTCGGGAAGGAAGAGACCTGCCCAGGAACACAGTGAGGGCACCAGGGCTCCAATCCCCTGACACTCTTCTGCCCACGGCACCAGGAACTCTGCCTAGATGCTGGAGAATGCACGAGTTCTCCTGAAAGTGACTCGTGGCCACTCCCCCATGCTAAGGCCTCTTGGGAAGGTCCTGGCCCTGCGTCTGGTTCCTGGCTCCTGCCCCCAAGGATTCTCCCTGCAGGAGAGGCACAAAGGTTGGCAAAGCAGGTGCAGGGCTCTGGAACCACTGTCTGTGTGACCCTGAACAAGTTACTTCACATGTCCGAGCCTCAGTAACACGGGGATGAAACATTTCTAGCACTGTTTTGAGGATTAAGAAGTGTATGTGGGGCCAGCCAGTGGTGTGGTGGTTAAGGCAGTCAGAACCCTCAGGGCGGACTGCACAGTTCTAGTCCCAGACCCAGTGGCTTAAAAACACACTGGATACGGGCTGGCAGGTGGTTAAGGGTGCTGGACTTCCATATGACCAACCGTGGTTCGAGTCCTGGACCAGGTGGCTTGCTTGCTCTCTCTCTCGCTCTCTCTCTCTCTCACTTGTCACTTTCTGGTCAAATTTAAATAAATAAATAAATAAATAAATAAATAAATAAATAAATAAATAAAGTTAAATAATTCTTAAAAAAAAAAATAAAACCACTGGGTATGTGTGCATACATGCCCAAAATCCTGAAAGGAGGGAGAAGTGGAGAAGGAATTGCTGTGTGATCATTCCCCCATGAGGGGTGTCTCACTTCACTTTCTCTCTCTCTGTCTTTCTCCCCAGTGAGACTCATGCCTTCTAGAAATTTTTTTAAAGAATCATTTTTTTTCTCTTTATTTATTTTAATTTGACCGGAGGTGGCAGAGGGAGAGAAAGAGGGAAGGGTAGTGAGAAAACAAACCACCAGGTCCAAGACACGAACTATGGTCTGCCATTTGGAAGTCCAGCACCCTTAACCACCACACCACCTGCCAACCCTTAGAAATTTATTTTTTAACCTATGCACAGCACTCACAAGAAGCAATCCAGCACAGTTAACAGATGCTTATAGAATGTCAGTGTCCATCTTCATTCCATCTCTGTCCCCTCTTAGCATTTCTGTCCCCTGCCCAGTCACAGGAGGTGACCCAGATTATTTTCTTGGACCTGTATGATCAGTCTGCTCTTCTCTGATGGCTCATTTCCTGGATCATTAAATAATGTTTTTCAAACTTAAATGTTTGCAAGGATCACCCAGGGATCCTATGCAAATGCAGTTTCTGGGACCAGCAGATGGCGTAATGGTCACATCACTGGACTCCCATGTAGTTGACCACAGTTTGAGTCCCAGACCTGGTGCCTTAAAACTCACACTAGGTGCATGTACGTGCCTGCCCAAAATTCTGAGAGGAGAATGGAAGAGAAGGGATTGTGACATGGCCATCCTCCCTGGGGGGTTGTGCGTGTGATTTCTCAGTTTCTGTCTCTCTCTGTCTCTCTAGCACACATGCCCTATAGCAAAAATCTCTTTAAAAAAAAAAAAAAGTTTCTAATTCAATAGGTCCAGGGTGGTCCTGAGACTCTTACTCCTAACAAGCTCCCAGGTGGTGCGATGCTGTTGGTCTAGAACCACATGTCGAGAAGCAAGGCCCTAGGCTGAACATTGATCCATCCCTCCTCCTAAATTCGAAGTCTTTGTCCAACCCGGACTTGCCATCTCTGGGCATAACTGCTTCTGTTAACAACCCCCATGGCTGGGTACCCGCCAGGATCTTCTCCCTGTCTCACTCAGACGGGGAAGTGACAACAGATTAAAGCAAACAGCAGTGTCAGACCTCGAGAGGCAGCTGAGCCTGTCGCCCAGTGAGCGAGCGAGGTGGTGAGCAGTCCTGCAAGCCTGGGGTGCCGGGCTGGGGCCGAGAGGCATCCTCGGTCATCTCACCTTCCCATTCTCATGGTACACAAACAGGTTCCGGGTGTGGCCCTCTGTCCTGTAGGTGATCTGCAGCCCGTGGGGGTGCCCTATCTTCTCTGTCTGGAAGCTGGCATTCAAGTCCTTGATATTGATGACAGCTTTGGGGCCTTTACCCTGGAACAGAAAGAGAGGGTTCTTGAGATGCTCACAGGCAGCAGGTCACTTCTCGTCACCTTCACTGAAGCCGAAATGCAAACAGATACGCAGTTTACAACTTTGCAGGGGTTTTACACGTACTTGCTCTAACATCAAAACATTCTAATACTCTATTGGGTCTTTGGGAAAGTCATGACACATTTTTGCATAGAAAAACAGAAAAAATACATCGTGACTTTTCGGACGGTCCGACAGAATTCTTGATCTCCCGTACGTGGTCATCCCATAACCCCTTTAGTCAGATTGGGCTCCTGAGCTGGAACAGGGTTTCGAAAGGCCTTACTTAGGACTTCTCAGATTATTTCTGAAGCAAATCAGTTATGGAAGCCAAACAAATAAAACAGATATAAACAGAGCAGCTCTAGTAAAGTGCTGTACCAGAGAAGCCAGATCTCACATAGCAACCGAAGTTCGAATCCCCAGGCCCAATCAGCATGAAACATACACCGGATACATGCACAAGTGCCCACGATCCAACAGGCCGGAGGACTGGAGGGAGGGGACTGTGGCGTGATCAGACAATGTGTAGAGTACTTATCTCTCTGTCTCTCCCTCTCGCTCCCACATGCATGTGCATGCACTCTATCATTAATAAAGAAAAAAAAACTAAAATAAAACAGAAGCAGGTGTGGGGGCCTCAGAGCATTCTCTCCCACATTCTACTCCCCCTCTATGGAACTCTGAAGCACAGCTGGAGCACTAACATGCTAAGAAGTGGGGGGAAGGAGCACTTTCCTTCATAATTGGCAAGAGCGTAATAATACCCATGCTCTAAACCCAGACCTGCAGTAGCCACTAGCCACATGTAACCATTTCAATAACATTAGATTACCTTAAAAATCTCATTCCTGAGTCAGCCCCATGGCCTAGTGGTTAAGGGAGCCAGAACTCGCATGGTTGACTGTGATTTTGGTCCAGTTGCAGAAGTTTGAAAAATGTTCCAGGCACATGTGCATGTTGGCCTAAAATCCCAACAAGATGGAGAAATGGAGACAGGATTGTGGTATAAGCATGCCCCATTGGGGAGTGCTGTCTCTTTCTGTCTGTCGTAAGAGAGCACATGGCTTTCTGGAAATGAAAAAAGAAAGAGAGGGACCAGCAGGTGACGTGGTGGTTAGGGGTGCTAGCCTCCCACATGGTCAACTGCAGTTCAAGTCTTGAACCTGGCAGCTTGCTTTCTCACTTTCTCTCTCCCTCTTAGTCTGTCCCTCTCTGGTCAAATTAAAATAAATAAATAAATAAAATGGGGACTAGCAGTTGGCATAATAGCTATGTTGCTGGACTCCCATGTATTCGACTGTGATTCGAGTCCTGGACCCAGTGGCTTAAACTCACACCGGGAGCACATGCGTGCGTGCTCAATATCCCGAGAGGAGAATGGCGGAGAAAGGATTGTGGCGTGGCTCTCCCCTTTGGGGGGTGATTTCTTGCTTCTGTGTCTCTGTCTCTCTCTGTCCTTCTGGTGAGCACACGTGCCATATAGCAAAAACCTCTCCAAAAAATTAAATAAAGTTAAATCGAATAATTCTAAAAGAAAAAAAGAGAGAGAGCAGGGCCAGCAGGTGGCATGGTGGTTGAGGCGCTGGACTCCCACATGGCTGAGCACGGTTCAAGTCCCAGACCTGGCAGCTTGCTGTCTCACTTTCCCTCTCTCTCTCTCTGCCTCTCTCTGGTCCAATTAAAAATAATAATAATATAAGTAAAATTAAATAAGTATTTTTTTAAAAAAGAGAGAACAAGAGAAAAGAAGAAAGAAAGGAAGAAGGAAAGGAAAAGAAGGAAAAAAAGCACGGAAGGAAAGAGGAAAATTCCATTCTTCAGTTGTCCTTAGCCCCGTTTCAAGTGGTCAGTAGCCACCTGTGTGGCTATAGTATTGGACAAGGAAATGTAGAGTATTTCCACCACCGAAGAAAATTCTATTAGGCAGTCTTCTCAAAAGAAAAATGTGGTCGTATTGATTCTAATGTTGAATGTTTTGCTTTGACACTATTTTGCATCTAAGAATCTATCCCAAGGAAATAATTACAATACTATGCAATATATGTCAAAAGACGTTTATTTCAGTGTGTTGTTAATAATAGCCAAAGAAAGAAGAAACTTTAAAAGTCCGTCAGTGATATGAGTTAAATAAATTACCATACATTAATACAATGATATACCACAGGATTTTTAAAGGGATAATATAGATTACTATCACTTAAGTGAAAAAATGCCCATGATATCTGAGTGAGAAATACCAAGTCCTAAAACAAGATGTAGAGTAGAAAGCTATTCATATAAAAAATTATATACACACACAAACTATTTATGGTCTAATATATATATACATACATGTATATATAATATGCATAGTTTGTTATTCTACTATATAGACACATGTATAATATATACACATATATGTATATATACAAAACATATATATTTGAACATGCATAAAAAGTATAGATACTTACACTTTTAAAAAAATTTTTGCTAGAGATGGGGCCAGCAGATGGCATAATAGTTATGTCACTGGACTCCCACATAGTCAACCATAATTTGAGTCTCGGACCCAGAAGCTTAAAAAATTCATACTGAGTGTGTGTGTGTGGGTGTGTGTGTGTGTGTGTGTGTGACCAAGCAAGATTCTGAGAGGAGAATGGAGAAAAAGGGATTGTGGCATGGCAATTTCCTAGGGGGTGATTTATCACTTTCTGTCTCTCTGGTGAGCACACATGCCCTATAGCAAAAATCTCTCTCTAAAAAAGAAAAAAAATTGCTAGAGAGCAGATGCACTCACCCGGGAGAAACAGAGAAAGAGGGAGGGAAAGAAGAAAGCATTCCCCATGGGGAATGGTCAGCCCCCAATCCTTTCTCATCCATCTCTCCCTCCTTTCAGGATTTTGGGTATGTACACCTATGATGCATCTGGTGTATTTCTCAAGCTGCCAGGTCCCAGACGCAAACTGAACAGTTCACCATGTGGGATCTGGCTACTTTAACCACCAGGTCAAGGGCTGGCCCTACACAAACACATTTTTTTAAAGAGATTTTTGTCGGGCCAGCAGATGACGTGGTGGTTAAAGGCATTGGATTCCCACGTGGCCAGCTGTGGTTTGAGGCCCAGACCTGGTGGCTTGCTTTCTCGCTTTCCCTTTCTCTCTCTCTCTGTCTGGTCAAATTAAAAAATAATAATAATAATAACGAATGGAATTAAATAAATAGATAATTCTTTAAAAAAAGAGAGAGAGAGGGACCAGCAGTTAGCATAATGGCTATGTTGTTGGACTCCCATGTACTTGACCACAGTTCGAGTCTCGGACTCGGTGGCTTAAACTCACGCTGGGTGCATGTGCATGCATGCCCAAGATCCCGAGAGGAGAATGGAGGAGAAGGGATTGCGGCATGGCCGTCCCCCCAGGGGGTGATTTCTTGCTTTCTTTCTCTCTGTCTCTCTCTGGTCTTCTGGAGAGCACACGTGCCCTATAGCAAAAAAACAAAAGCAAAAACAAAAACAAAGAACAAAAAACCTTTTCAAAAAAAGAAACAAATAAAAGAGAGAGAGAGAGATTTTCGCTATAAAGTGCATGTTCTTGCCAGAGAGAGAGACAGACAGAAAGGGAGAAATCACCGCCCCAACCCCCCCCCAAAGGTCATGCCACATTCTCTCTCCTTCATTTTCCTTTTGGGGTTTTGGACACACACACATGCGCCTGGTATGAGTTTCAAGTCTCCGAGTCTGGAACTTGAATCGTGGTTGGCCACGTGGGAGTCTAGCACCTTAAACACCACACCACCTACTGGCCCCACCAACACTCTTTTTTTATCTTTATTTAAGATTATTATTTTTTTTTTTGGAGAGGTTTTTGCTTTAGGGTGTGTGCACTCACCAGACAGACAGAGAAAGACAGAGAGACGGAAAGTGAGAAACCGCCCCCCAGGGGGGATGGCCACGCCGCAATCCCTTCTCCTCCATTCTTCTCTTGGGATCTTGGGCACGCACGCATACGTGCCCGGCGTGAGTTTTAAGCCACTGGGTCCAGGACGTGAACCGTGGTCGACTACGTGGGAGTCCAGCGACATAGCCATTATGCTAACTCCTGGTCCCATTTTTTTAAAGAATTATTTTATTTAACTCAATTTGTTTATTTTAATTTGACTAGAGAGGGACAGAGTAAAAGAGAGAGAGAGAGCAAGCCACCGGGCCCAGGACCCAAACCCTGGTCAGCCATGTGGGAGTATAATGCCCTTAACCACCACACCATCTGCTGGACTTCATCCTAACTTTTAAAAAAGAAATATGATGGGGGCCAGCAGGTGGAGCAGTGGTTAAGGTACTAGGCTCCCACATGGCTAACCACAGTTTGAGTCCCAGACCTGGCATCTTGAAAATCACACTGGGCATGTGTGTACACGCCTAGAACCCCAAGAGTAGAATGGAGAAGGAATTGCAGCGTGGCCATCCCTCGAAGGAGGTGATTTCTTTTTCTTTCTCTTTCTCTGGCGAGTTCACATGCCCTATAACAAAAGCCTAAACAAATTTTAAAAGGAAAGAAAAGAAACATGACGTTACTAGTAAAGCTGGACTCTCTTTCATCGAGACTCACCTACCCCATTCTTGTCCTTCTTTTCCCCTAGGCAGGCATTCACCATCACGAGTCTGAGGTTTATCCTAGTCCATTTTTTATATTCTTGCACACATACCCATCTGCATGTATCTCTGAGTAAGATCTAGTGCCATTTTAGGTGGTTTTCATTGACAAAAATGGTATCCTATATGGCTCCTTCTCTAGCTTGCTTTTGGCCCTCAGCATTATATTTTTAGGTCCACCCATGCTGAGGTTCGGCAGTCTAGTTCGCTCGTGTAAATGATACCAGATACCGATCTATTGTCCTGTTGACCTACCTTGAGAGCTTTCTGGTTATTTGCCATCAGTGTAAGGCACAGTCAGTGTCCCTGCTACACACACGTGGCTGCGGTCCATACTTAGGAATGGAACTGCTAGATCACAGCGGTACATCTTCAGTTTACTGGAAACTGCCAAATTATTCCGCTGAATTTCTCCACACTGGTGTACCAATAGTTACTTCCATGAAAAACATGGAAGAGTTTCCCTTTCCTTCTATCCTCACCAACACTGGACTTGGCCAGATTTTAATGTGTTTGCCAATATGATAAGAACGAAAGTGTATCTCACTGTTAATTTTTATGTAATCAGCTTTATTGAGGTATAATTATATACAAGAAGCTGTACTCATTTAAAAATATGACTTGGCGCCAGCTGGTGGTTGAGGTACCTAGATCCCACATGGACTACCGCACAGTTCGAGTCCTGGATCTGGTGGCTTGAATAACACACAGGGATAGGGCCAGCAGATGACATAGTGGTTACGTCTCTAAACTCCCACATGGCCAACCGCAGTTCAAGTTCTGGACCTGAAGGCTTCAAACTCATGCCAGGCATGTCTGTGTGCATACCCAAGATTCTGAGAGTAAAACAGAGGAGAAGGGATTGTGTCGTGGCCATCCCCCCGGGGGGTGATTTCTCACCTTCTGTCTCTGTCTCTCTGGAGAGCACATGCGCCCTATACCAAAGATCTCTCTCAAAGAAAAGAAAAAGAAAAAGACACAAGGCACATGTACATGCAAGCCCCAAATCCTTAAAGAGACCATAGAAATAGAGAAGAGACTGTGGTGTGACCATCCTTCATGGGGGGTGGTTTCTTACTTCCCCCTTTTCTCTCTCTCTCTGCTTCTTTCTGGCTAGTGCACATGCCCTTTAGCAAATTAAAAAGAAGAAAAAATAGTACAATTTTTTTTTTCTTTTTTTTTGAGAGATTTTTTCACTATAGGGCGCGTGCGCTCGCCAGACAGAGAGAGACATTAGAGACAGAAAGTGAGAAATCAC